AATGTAGCACTTTTATAATACGTTGCAACCATATCATATAGTGTATGATATTGTATCGTATTGTACCATAATGTATTGTATTATATTGCAACATAATGTATTATATTGTCTTGTATTTTACTTCATTGTATTATATTGTACCCTATTGTAATTCAGTGTATCATCTTGTACTTAATTAGCTTTGTTGTACTGTTTTGTGTCATACTGTATAATATTGTATGTTGTAATATGTATCTCATATAGTATCATATCAGACATTTTGTCATAATGAATTGCATTGTTCCATTTTGTATCGTACTGTGTTATATTGTGTCATATAGTAACGTATTATACCCTGTTGTATTGTATCATATGTGTTATTATATAAAATTGTAATTTACTCTGTTGTATCATATTGTATTGTTCCATATTGTAGCATCTTGTGTTATATTATATAATATTGTAATGTATTATCCCCTATTCTATTATATCACATTGGACCTTATTGTATTGTATTTGTTGTACCATATTTTGTCTTAGTGTATTGTATTGTTCCGTATTGTATCATATTGTAACAATATACCCTGCTGTATTGTATCATATTGTATTGTATTGTTCCATATTGTATCATATCATATTATGTTTTATTGTATCATATTGTATTGTATAGTTGTATATTGTATCATATTGTGTTATATAATACTGTAATTTATTATACCCTGTTCTATTGTATATATTGGACCATATTTGTCATAGTGTATTCTATTGTTCCATATTGTATCATATTGTGTTATATTGTATAATATTGTGTTATATTGTGTCATATTGTAACGTATTGTACCCTGTTGTATTGTATCATATGTGTTATTATATCAAATTGTAATTTACTCTGTTGTATCATATTGTATTGTTCCATATTGTATCATCTTGTGTTATATTATATAATATTGTAATGTATTATCCCCTATTCTATTATATCATATTGGACCATATTGTATTGTATTTGTTGTACCAAATTTTGTCATATTGTATTTTATTGTTCCATATTGTCTCATATTGTGTTATATTGTATCATATTGTGTTATATTGTATCATATTGTAACCTATTATTCCTTGTTTTATTGTATCAAATTATATTGCATTATTTTTTGTAAAGTTTAATTGGTATTTTTGATCAAGTTGACTTGATTTTAAAACTCCTGTTTCTATCTTTTATTAACTTTTACAAACATTTAAATAGAACATTTTAAATAATAATAATAAAATATAATGAAATAATAATGGGACTTTTAAAATGAGCTTCAGTGGAAACAGCTCCTGTTGATAATCTGTACAGAGGGAACGCTCCCACTCTCAAAGACTCAGCCACAAGTTACTAGAGAGGATCTGATTTGAGAGCTCGCTCGAGGACGATTAGAGCAGTGTTTGCAGTAAAACATGCGTGTGGATTCTAGCCAGAGAAGTTTGGAGGAGACACTTCGGAGAAGAAGAACAGCGGCAGGAGCGTCGCTTCCTGCTGTCAGAGAGCTAATGCTGCTGCAGAAGACGTGGCGTTTTGGGACTAGGCCTGCTCCTCCTCAGAAGCACAGAGTGTGACAGCTGTAAAAATCCCCCAGCCAGGTACGTTCAAAAACTCCTGATCAACATGTGCACACACACTCCCACAGACAAATACTCAGGCTATGTTCCCCCTCGTGCCCATTAATATTACATGCAGCAGACTTTGGCATAATGTACACTTACTTATCATTTATTCGCTCTCTCCCTCTTTCTGTCCCCCAACCCACTCCACTATGTTTTGAGATGTTAACCTGTAAATAATAAACTTCGGCGCTCCTGGTGTCATTTTTCTGCTCGTGAGAGGGAGACAAGTTGGAAGAGCGGAAACAACCGGAGGCGAAGAAGGCTAGATGAAATTGAACTCTTTCCCAGCTCATGAATATTTTCCACATCACCAGGAGGCAGGAGGATGTAGGGACTTAGCAGAGCTGTTTGTATCCCTGCGTTGATGTAATTCCCCATTTCCATCAGGAAGGCAGTCATGTCACATCGGTATTTAAACACAAAAATGGACAGAGGCAAAATGATGAACTGGCAGGGTTGTTATACACACAATCTGTAAGAAAAGGTGAGATCCACTTGGAGAGTAACAGAAATTTATGTTACTGCAGGAAAAAAAAAAGAAGCTCTGGATGAGAGAATGACCTACATAATGAGGAGCAGAGCTTGGGTGATAAGGCTTTTATGGAGTGACAGCTGTTCTACCTGCCGTTTTCACCTTGACAGAGCAAAGGGACTCGTCAATAAACCCCAAACTAATGAGTGTCATTGTAGTTTATAGCATGAGAGAATGGGGACAACGTTATCCCACCTGTCTGCTGTATTAAGCGCATCCAAACCACCTCCACAAGTAATTTATGACAGATTTTTCAGCTGATACAGCACTATTGGAATCCTCATGATTTTCCGAGCCACTGCTGGTCCCAGTGGAGTCCAAGTGTCACTCAGAGGGAAAACTTTGCAAGGGGAGAGGAGAGAATACTTCCTCATTTTCGGCAAGTGCGCCAATTCCCAGGTGCTCTCTTCAGGTACTACAGTATGCAGTTTGTCTGAGCGGAAGAGACAGGTCTGTGTCTGGCTTTCCTGTCATCTTTGGCCGCTCTTTGCCTCAGTGTCAGCAGCCTGAACCTTCCTTCCTGTCAGTCTGCCGGAACTGATGATGAATTATGAAAAAGGGCCGGATCTCCTGGAGAATACAGATGTTTTCACACACGCACACCTCATTCATTGTGGACTAAACAGTTGTGGTGAGCTTTATCACACTGGCACCGGAATTAGTATGGAACACCAAAATGCTCAAAATTAAATAAATAAATAAAGCATTATGAAATAATTATTTAAGCTCATAAATAAAAGCATAAAAATGATTTTTTTTTTCATAATAATTTCATAGTTGTGTTTTTTTTAAATTTTTTTATAGCTTATTTATTTCATAATGCCCCTTTTCAGCAGAATGGCTTCAGCTGTCAATCAACGTCAGTGGGTTGGACCGGCACGCCCACTGGCTGATCCTTCACATCCATTAGTTTAACCGAATACCTGCTCACTCACAGACATGATTTAAATATCATAATTTAGATATAATTTATCATTTAAAGCAAACAAATAATCGTTTTTATGTGTTAATCTTGTTAAATTCAAAGAACAGCGAGTTCTCCCGTGCGCGCTCCCGCTGCGCAAATCAATTTTTGTCAGCCCATTATTTTTTGTCACAGCACCTGTATCTTCTGAGAACGTAATCTTCAGTTTGATCTGCTAAAGTTACCTGAGCTGAACGAAGTTCATGCAGCTCTGCCGTCCTTCATGACTGTTGAGCTAGCAAGTCGCTGCTAGCTGCTACGCTAGCTGTACCAGTGAACAGGAAAACTAATGGATGTGAAGGATCAGCAGTGTTGCCAGGTGAGAAATGTAGGATTATCGTACTAGAGACATACAATTATCATATTTTGAGGGAAATTATCGTACACCCGTCATAACCAAAATAACAAATTTATTGATGCACTACAGTAGTGATGGGTCCGCTTCCAGACCGGCTCTGCTTCTTCTTCTTTGCTTTTTTCTTTTCCTCACTCATGGGGCAGGAGCAGCGGACTATTCAGCCAGTCATGGCTGTTGTTCTGAGGCAAACGCATACATATCGTATATTTATTGTATATTTGGCCTTTTTTGGGATTATTGATTGTACATCGTACAGGGGGCGAAATTGTCATACAAATACGACAATTATCGTACACCTGGCAACACTGAGGATCAGCCAGTGGGCGTGAAGGTCCAACCCACTGACGTTGATTGACAGCTGAAGTCATTCTGCTGAAAAGTGGCATTAAGAAATAAAATTAAAAAAAATATTTTTTTCTTATTTCATAATGTTTTATTTATTTATTTATTTAATTTTGAGCATTTTGATGTTCCATAAAACAGAGGACTTATTATGCAAGCTCAATGGAAAAAAAAAAGAGCTCCTTATTAACTTGAATGAAAATGTGTTGGTCTTTTAGAGTTTTTCATCCCCCGTTTGGAAAATACTATTGACTGCTGATCTATAAGTGTGTATTTTAAATAAAGTGAAGCATGGAATGCGTTGGATAATCATGGAAGTCAAAATTTCAGCAGGAATTTGTTTCGGATCTGAACACATCTGTGCAAGGAAAGCCCCGCAGGAGAGCGCCATCACTTGACAGACGACTTTGTTTTGAACGTTTGACTCGGCGGTCAACGAGAACCGAAGCAGGTGCCGAGCACGCCAACCAAGTGGCCGAGCAGACTGATTGGTATGCTGTCTCTTTCTGAAGTAAGCGCAAATCGAGGGTTGTTTTAATTGAGACGCTGAGGAAAGAGAGGCGACGCACCAATGAACAGGTAATTATGCAACTCCCAGCTACGCTGAAGCAGACTGTGAATCCATTAAGGCCTCTTTGCAAAAACGCCTGTTTCTGTTTCTTTTTTTTTTTGCTGTTCACAGATTTTTTTTTCTCCCCTCTAAAATCCCTGCATGCACCTACCCTGTTGAATGGGAGGGAAGGTTCTCGATGCAAAAATCATAAAAATTAACCATCAATGAGATTGGAGCTCTGAGGTCACAGTAAGTCCTTCTTTCTCTGCAAATCTGCCGGCCGGATTAATACAGCGACAACATGCGCCTGTACATGTCAGCTAATCCATTTATTTATTCAGCGTGCTCCCAGACTGCCTGATTAATCGCTCCCACACCACCGATGGAAGGAAAAGAGACAAGAGAGGGAGAGAAAGCGTGCTGCTTTGCTCGCTCAGAGGTGTGTGTGAGCATGTGTGTATCAAATCTCCCCTCACATCTCCCCCCGTAACAAACGCCTGACTGAGCATCACGCACGTAAACGACGATGGAGTAATACTCTTGAACACCTGTACTCATTCAACCAAACGGATAGATAACCGTGAGAGGGGAAAAAAAGTGTCATTTATTTAGAAAGTTTAATTCTTACCCTGAGTGGCGATGTAGTGATTTGGTCTGTGGTAGCCCTGGAAAAAGAAAAAAAATACAAGAGAGATATGAGATTATTCGTCTCAAGAAACACTTTGTCTTTGATATTTACTCTGTGGAAGTTTTATTTATGGTTAACCACTTCATGCTAAATTATTCCAGTGCAAACGCCACTTAGATTTAAAGTGTAAAGAATTCCACTTAACAGCTGCTTTTTCAATTACCAGCCATTAAAGAGGAGCGATAATGTACGTGTTTGTGTGTGTGTTCATGGAGTCATGAACCACTGAATGGATTTCCATGAAACTTTCAGAAAATAATCACCGGATGTACATCTACCCCTGAATACAATTTGAAGATAGTTAAATAACCGTACAGAGATCATCATTGTTCATTGAGAAGCCTGATCGCTACAGGAGTGAATGAGTTTTTCAGTCTGTTCGTTCTATATCTGGGCTGCAGATACCTGCATCCAGATGGAAGCAGCCTGAACTCACCATGGAGTGGGTGATCAGGATCTGCCAGAATCAGCCTGGCCTTGTTCACTGACCTCGCCTTGTGTAGGTCAGTGAGGTTCTGTAGGGCTATGGCAGCAGTTTTGCTGCACATCCTGACAATCCCCGAGAGTTTGCTCCTGTTTTTGCATGTCAAAAGTCCAAATCAACATTTTTGTAAAACTTATTTTGTAAATGAGTCCCCGAGGGCAGCACGGTGGCGCAACTGGTAGAGCTGCTGCCTCTCAGCGAGCAGGTCCTTGGTTCAAACCCCGGTCCAGGGGCCTTTCTGGGTGGAGTTTGCATGTTCTCTCCGTGCATGCGTGGGTTTTCTCCGGGTACTCCGGTTTCCTCCCACAGTCCAAAAACATGCATGTTAGGCTGATTGGTAACTCTAAATTGTCCCTAGGTGTGAGTGAGAGAGTGAATGGTTGTTTGTCTCGTTTGTCTCTATGTGGCCCTGTGATGGACTTGCGACCTGTCCAGGGTGTACCCCGCCCCTCGCACAGTGATTGCTGGACATGGGCACCAGCGACCCCCGTGACCCAAAATGGAATAAACGGGTAAAGAAAATGGATGGATGGATGGATGGATGAGTCCCCGAGGCTCAATGGGATTAACCTGTCTAAATAAAGGTTGACTGAAAAAATTCAAAGTGGTGGGCAATATGCATTCCTTCAAAGATTTCTACTTTTAATTTTACTCAGAGAATACTAGAAGACTGGTTCTAGTATTGTGGTGCTCAAGGTGGATGCATGCTGGAGCAGCTGTTACTTTCATTCTGGGATGTTACTTTTGAAAACTTTAATTTCTCTTTTTTCTGGATTTAAATTGATTTTTTTGGATGATTATTTCCTCTATCAGATGCTGTGCTGCGGAAAGGACTTTTACTGAAACCTTTTTGCTTTTGGACATTTGTTATGCTACGTAACCATGCCAACAAGGTTGTTTTACAACCAGGAGCAGCTATTTAACATCTCAAAAGCTCAAATAATACTTCAGCTACTGCCTCAAATCACAAATTAGTTAAAAAGGAGGTACCGTGGATGCATCTCCGTCTACTTGGCGGAGGTGCTTGAATTACTGACTGCCAAGATCCTGGAGCTGGTGGGAAACATGGCTCATGACTACAAGAAGACCACAATCATCCCTGACACCTGCAGCTGGCTGTCCACAATGACAAGAAGATCAACAAGCTGCAGGGAGGAGTGGCCATCGCTCAGGGAGGAGCTCTGCCCAAGATTCAGGTGGTCCTGCTGCCCAAGAAGACCAAGAAACCCACCAAGTCCAAGTAGACAGCTCAACATCATCAGATCTGCTCTAAGACAGACCGCTACAAGAGATCCTTCCTGCCCACAGCCATCAGCATCTATAACAACTCTAATGAAACCAAGCTGATGAGCTACAACAACATTTAATTTCCCTTTGGGATTAATAGAGTATTTTTGAATTGAATTGAATTAAATACAGTATGAACGTCCACTTCCCTGCTTTTACTAGCTCAGAGGGAAGGTGCGTGCTGCACAAGGACTACGCTCTTCATCTTTTTGTGTTTCTCTGTGCATTCAGGACTGACTGAGTGAACAAAACTGAAATGCTTCTGGATGCACGGTGCTCTCTTTACGCAGCACACCTCTGGACTATTGACTGTCAAAGTGTTGATAATCCCCAAGATACAACAAACAGTGCTGATCTTTACGATAAGACCCCCAGTCTCAGGGATTACTCTAATCCCTTCAAGTTTTATTTGTCCAATTCCTTGTCTTCTCCTCAGAGATATGAAGCAGGAAACAAAACATTAGGACTTAAAGGCTCTTCAACGGACCAGCCTCTTCTTGATTGCACCCCCCCTGCACCACCACCACCACCCCTGCTGCTCTGCTTATCTCCCTCATATTCAATTTAACGTGGACTGTGATTAACGCTCCTCCAGTGAAGGGAGAACGACACAAAGGATATTTTCCTCATTCTCTCTCATCCACAGGGCTCCTTCAGCTATTCAAGCCTTCCTCCATTTTTAATGACTTCTTTATCTCCGGACTACGGAGGAGATTTGTTTGCGCTTTCATGTGTGTTCGTCTGAGTGAAGTGGAGGCCCAGAACACAGTCGGATTAGACAGGAGAAGACGAAGAGAAAGGGAATGTCTCTGGCAGTCACTCAGGTGAGTGGAGCGATATTCTTTTTAAATAAGCACATTATGAAGAAATTAATGTTTATGATCAACAGCGAGTGGGGTGAAAAGGGTTTCCAAGAATGTTAAATGTGCAGAGAACTTGGTATTTTGCTGCATTGCTTGTGATAATTTACATCTCATTTCTTCCCATTAAACGTGGAAAGTGGAGAGTCCAAAATATCCAGCGTGAAGTGTTTTTGCCTGTGGGCACAAACTGGTATTTTCCACTGGAATGTGATTACATGGCCCACTTTTGCGCATCTTGAAGTCAGACACCTGTTATATGACAGTACACATTTAATCTGACAAATACGTCTTAGAAGAAAAACAGAAAACACGTTTTTCCAACATGTTGTTGCCTTTGTTAAAAATAAATCATCTTTATAAACAACTCAGGGAAGAGAAAGTCTTAGACATGCAGCACTCAGAGGCCTCCAGTCCAGTACCTTAAAGAGTTACATTGATCAACTGCAAAGAGGTGAGGTTAATCAATATGTGATTATTAATAATATCCTGAAAGTAAACAAAATAATGTATTGTGATGTTCAGTGCTATGTAAAAACTGAACTTATACGATGTAAATAGTAATGTTATTGAATGCACTAATATTCTGTGCTTGATTTTCTTTCAGTTTTCCCTCCATCTTTTCTGGGATAGCTGCAGCCGAGATGTTCTCCAATCAAAATGTTGACAGTTTGGTCCACATGTCAAACTGTCCCCCGGCAAGACATTGGACTCTGTGTTCCTATTCATCAGTGTCAGAGTGTGTAGAAACGTTGGGTAGATCGTAAGAGAAGGAATAGTCCAAGTATGTCTGCATGAATGTAGTTCAAGAGATCTTCGAGTGGCTCTCTTTATAAATGCAGTCTATTCACTTTTTAATGAGTACTTTTACTAAATCGGATAAAAAAAAAGTCCAAATTAAATTGAAATTGCAAAAAAATATATATATATTATTGCTTGAACTTCACAAATTGAAGGACACAACATTCAAAAGTAGACATGAAGTGGTCACCAGACAACAGTGAGTTCAACCAAACCAAACCAGAAAGATGTCTGATGCGTTGGGTTGAAGTTTGCATTCACTCATTTGCACATAAACTTATTTTCTCACTGCTTTACACCTATTCTCCCCAACAGGTCACATGGAGACTTTACTGTTACTGCTTAAGTAGCCACTAGCATGCTGGTTAACCATCATGCACTGCGGTTTCCTCAGGGGTTCTCAAAATAATCATTGGATTTATTACAGCTTTCATTTCAATTAACCTTTTATTTAAGACAAACATTTCTTCTGGAGTTATAACTAAAGAGATCCTGAGTACCAGTGGCAGCACCTGTACCACAATTTGAAAACCATTGAAGTATTCCAAGTATTTCTAAATCTTCAATTTAATTAAGTTTATTTATAAAGTTCCAAGTCACAACAGAAGTCGTCTCAGGGCACTGAACAGAAACATTCATATATAAAAATAATAATTTAACATTATTTATCTGAGGAGCAGACTGCTTTGAATTCAACTTCATCGCAGACTCTCATCTTGAGCGAGCATGAAGGCGACAGTGGAAAAGAAAAACTCCTTCATGATGAAGAAACCTTTAGCAGAACCAGGCTCAGGACAAGCGTCTATCTGCTTTGACCAGCTGGATTTGAAAGGAACAGATACACAATGGCAGGTCAAGAATCACATGTTAAGATAGAAATAATATAAAATGAAAACTATTTAAATGTAACATTTCATTTAAGGGAATGCGGTCATTTTGTCCTCTAGTAGTCTAAGCCTATAGCAGCATAATAAGCCAACCCTAACCATAGGATGTGTCAAAAAGGAAAGTCTTAAGTGTCAGCCTCATGGACAGAAACTGGAAATTGGTTCCACAAGAAAGGAGCCTGATACCACAAGTAAGCCTACAGTGTGAGAGCAAAGTGCTCTGTTAGGAAAATATGGAACAATAAGATGAGATGGAGCTAGGTTGTTGAGCGCTTTGTAGGTTAGAATGATATAAGCAAGTTGTATTAAAGTTATCATGTCTAGAAAAATGTTGGAAATTGAAGCCAGGAGGACCCGATTTATGGGAGCCTGATTAAGACCAGAGGCTGCAAACTAGAGGTGAGAGGGGCTTTAGGATCCCCTTGCTCCCCCACATCCACATTCACAACATTACAGGGCCTTTCATTTAAACACAAAATAACTAATTACAGTCGGATGATTAGTTTTGGTAAAATTCAAACAAAACCAACACTTTGGGTTTCATTCCTCAAGTCAGAGAGAATGCAGAACAGTAATGACAAAAAACTTTTGGGGATGCATTCAGAGAACAGATTGCAGTGAAGAGTTTGACAATGCTGATTAAAAAAAAAAAAGGCAATGAATATATTATCCTGCAAAGAAAAGGAAATGTAAACGAGCAGGAACATTTAGGGGACATGGTTCTGAGCACCTGAGTGACAAGATTCTGGTGAACAACTTCCAACACTGAGTAGAGCAACCCTGCAAGCCTCTACGTGCGCACACACACATACACACACAAGTCTACAAGCAACAGACCATTACACTGTTTCACCGCGTCCTAAATGTTTATGAAAATGCTGAATCAACTGCAGAGAAGAGAAATGCGCCCGCTCCGCTCCCTCGTACACGACTCCAAATAATCAGAAGTATAATAGAGCACAAAAACAAACGCTGTGGGAAGTGTTCTACACGTAACGGTTTATTGGCAGAACAAGCTTTTAGATGAGTTAAAAAGCTTTCTGAAGAGCAAAAACATCATTACCCATCTGCTTGAGTTTCTACTAAGTACTTTTCCAACGACGCTGGCGTAGCGGCAGAAATCCTTTTCAATCAGGAGCCTCTTTATTATGCGTATATTCTTATCTTCTAATGGGACTCTCTACTGTGCGTCTTCTCCGCAGCATAATGGGCCATAAACTAAAGTAAATAATTTAAGCCTGCTGCTTTTGCTGCGGCACACCTTGCATTATGAATTTATGTTTAAGGGAGTAACAAGAGATTACAAATCACCGCATTACAGGACGGGATGGAAAAGAGAAGACGGGAGACAGACTGAAGTTCTCTCCTGAGCGGATAACCACTTAGAGATTTGGACTATTACACACGGAGCGGAAGCATCTGCTTAAGGAGGCCAGTGAGCTGCTGTGATTGGTCACATCCTGCAACTAACGCTGCTTTTAACAGCAAATTAGGTCAGATCAGGAGGTTGGCTAATGTGTGGGCTAAGTGAGTAAGATTTTCCTGCCTCGTGCTACTTTTTACTAACTTTTACTTACATGTAAAGGCATCCCAAGTCATTACAGTGCTTGTAAGATTTGTACTTTAAGTACTTATCCAATTTTATTTTTACATATGTGTTTTCAGATGGAAGCAAAGTTGAAAACTGTAATCTCAGTTAAGCCTGTCGCCATAAACAATAATCAATTAATTGCATGATAAATGAAAATTATCGACCTCATTTTCATTCATCGGCTTTATTGTTTCTTCATGTCTCTCTTTCTACTGGAGACACTGGATGACAAAAAGCTCAACTCCGGTGCTCTTCCGGTGAAGAGACAGCCCATGTCACATCAAGGGGCCTCCCTCCCATTTTCTTAAAGAGACACGTTGCTCGCTCCCTCACTATCCATCCTTCGGTTCAAACAGTCTTATACTGCCATCCAGTGGTCCAAAAAAGGTACTACACTCAAAACAAATTAACATTTCTTCTTAAATTTGACAATAATTACTAATTATTGTCAAAATTCAAACAATATTATCATTTATCGCAATAATTTCTGAGACAATTAATCACCCAGCAAAACTTGTGATCGTGACAGGCCTAAACTCAGTTCCCCTGTGAGCTGCTTTGTCTTTTCTCTGCTGCAGCGCTGCCAGCCTCGGATCTTTATGCTTCTTAATGTATCCAATAAGCAGAGGGATACAGCTGGCCTCTAAAGTTGAATAGAAAGACAACTGGTATGTGTGTATGACTACTTGTGTGTGTGCATGTGATGGACAGGCAGCTGGAGCTGCGCTGCCTCCCAGGCCCTTCGGAGATGGAGGCACCAGCGCCCTCTCCCTCCCCGAGAGGAAGCGTAGTGACCTTTTGCGGTGGTGGCGCTGGCTGGTGTGTGTACTTACATCAACGTAATTTGCATTAATGTAATCGGAGCTCTGTTCCCCCTCCAGGGTCTGCAGCCTGACACGGGAGTGATCATCTGGAAGAGAGGCAGAGAGGAAGAAACCAGTGTTGAATTAATCATATTAACGAGGCCAAATAAAGGGAGGAGACGGAGAGACAAACGGGGAAGAAAGTTTTGGGGGAGAAATTAAAAAAGTGGGATGGAGGTGGAAAAGCAGCGGCAGACGTGCGTCTTGGAGAGGCATGAATCAAAGTGGGGTAGCGGGGATGAAACATCACTTTACACAGTCAGGCAGGTGTGACGCAAGAAAGAAACGTTGAATTTAAGTTCTTAATAATCGTGACGTGTCTGTTAGCACCTAATTCAAGATGGCTACCACAGCTAATCAACATTTCAAGCTCAAAAATGGATGTAGCAGTCAGGTTGACATATTTAGAGCTAATATTTAGTGTGGTAATAACATCACATACTTTGAGTGCTAACAGATCTTTGTGCAAAACTGTGACGTGGAAGGCGGCGATATGAAGCTTTTTGCTTCTAAACAAAAATCATACGAGCTCTAACTTTAACCTCCTAACAAATGTATACAAATGCTGGAAAACAACAGAGAATAAATTCAGATCTCCTAACATTGCTAAAGCTGACATCCCGTCCTGCGTGGCCTATTTCTCCTAACTGAAAAGGCAGCATGAATATAAAAGCAGAAAGGAAAGGTCAAAGCTGCGCTCGTTGGCTGATAATAAAACTCTATTTGAGCAGCTTAGAGTCATCCAGTCACAAGCCTGGCCAATAAATCAGCCCAAAGCACGGGAATGGCACACACAAAAAAATAATAAAATAAATAAAAAGTCACGAGCAGAGAAAGAAGAGGTGCTTTGTACACACATGCAATAATATTCCCATATCGGTTCTTCATGCGGTTCTCATCCTTTTTGGCTGAGTCCCAAGGGGCAGATTGTCCTTCAAAAAAGCTCTGCAAAGGGAGAAAACAGAGAACAGAAAGCGGGAGATGAAATATTGAGTCATGTGTAAGCACTCTAAATGATAACCAGGGTAGAAGAACGCACTTTTCCTCTTTCAGTTCAGCAGAATAAAAAAAAACATTCACATCATAATCAGACATGAAACGCAGCAAGAGAGGGGGATCCCAGGGAGTAGAGTCAAAAAATGAGCGCCATTAGGGCAGGGGCACCGCACTCAAACCTCTCCCCCAGGGCTGCTCCCCCCTCCTGGGCTGACCTGTCTGCCTCCCTCTTCTGAAGGACTCAATCAGCTCGTTGGGGGGGAGAGTTGGGAAAAAAAGCGCGCTCATCGTCTGCAGATCAAAACTGCTCCGCTCAGATTACTCTCATGAAATATTTATCATGTCTCGCGGGGAAGATTCCTATTCTGATGGCACACCAGGCACAATTAGACCAAATTATGAAAATACATCCTCGATGCCGGTCCGCCGCGGCCCAGCAGGGCCGGGAAAGGTTGGCTCCAAGCAGACTGGGCTGGACAAAATAAAATGTTAATCTGCCTTTTGGATCGTAAGATAACGCACGTGTGAAAAGTCAGCTAATAACTTACAGCGCTTCTGCAAAAAATACACTAAAATAAAACAAAACGTGCACGAGAGGTTAAGGAGGGAAGAGTTGCTTTTTAGCGTTTGGAGCTAGATTCAATCATCACTCATCCGGGACGTGATGCTTCCATTCATCTAAGTGCTGTGGCAGGCAGCAGGCTGTTTGTCTAACATAAAAAGCCCCTCAGACACCACACAAGGACATATAGTTCTGTATGTAGTCCGAGAGATTAGTGACTTCACCAAGAAACGGCTTTAAAATGCTAAAAATACGTCCCATCCTTCCAGGGATGATGGACGCGTGTCTCCGAGATGGATTAGTCAGGCCTCTCCTCTCGTGTCTACGTCGCTCCAAAGCATAAAGGTCTTAAATCACAGATTCCAGGACAAAGATAAAAGACAAATCTGATTTTATTTTAAACAAACGACCTCCTGTTTCAATTCAGATGGAGTCCAAAAACGGTAAAAATATATATATATGTGGAAATGATCATCTCAAGCAGGAGGCGAAACACAACAGCGCTTGAGCCATGAAACTATTTAGTGGATGTTTTTGTGCTTCACTGCATCTGCAGGTAGGTTTTTTGTTTATTATCCTCAGATTATTCCCTCTGGCAGAGATCCAACTTAGTATGATTTTAATTACAGCGTGACTCCTGCTCTGCAGTCCCAGAGCAGTTTGTTTCTTGAGCAGTTTCTTTGTATCCAACTGTAAACGAAAGGCAAAATGCTCTCTCTGCATACAGTCGCTGTGGGGAAACCTCCACACAGCAGGGGCTTGACATACGGTGCACACGATGGGAAAAAGAAGCAAAAGATGAAAAAACACTGGATGCTAACACCGAAGCAGAGCGGTTTGTAATTAATCACTGAGCGAGAAAAGACTCGTTCAAATGAACTTCATTTGTTTGTTCCGATTTGTGGGGAAAGTGCTTCACGATTCTGCACACTTCTGCTCTGACACAAGCTGAAAACAAGTGCAGGACAATGGCAACATGGCGGCTTTGATGCAGCTGCTTACTCAAAGCGCGCTATGGGGTGCCATTTGTAAAGTTACACAGTCAAAAATTAACAGCTACATTTTGATTTATTTAGCTTTTCATAAGAAAATAATATATATTTTCCAAGGTCATATTTTCACCATGTAATTCATACATTTATAAATGTCATAGTTCCAAATTAAATATTTAATTTACAAGCTAAATATTTAGTTTACAAACTAAATATTTAACTTGCAAGCTAAATATTTAGTTAGCAAGCCATAAAGTAAATGTTTATGTCCAACCTAATTGTTTATTTACAAACTAAATATTTATCTTGCATGTTAAATATTTAGTTAGCTACTTAAATATTTATTTTGGAAATAAATATTTAGGTCTGAGCTATATATTTAGTTAGCAAATAAAATATTTATTTTGAAAATTAAATGTTTAGTTAGGAAAATAAACATTTGGGTCCGAGCTAAATATTTAGTTAGCAAATTAAATATTTATTTTAGAAATTAAATGTTTAGCTTGGAAATTTTTTTTAGATCTAAACTAAATATTTAGTTAGCAAATTAATTATTCAGTTTAGGAATTAAATGTTTAGCTTAGAAATTATGAGTTTAGTTTGGAAATTAAATATTTAGCTTGGACAATAAATATTTAGTTAGGAAATTACATGTTTAGTTTTGAAAATAAATATTTAGATTGAACATTAAATATTTAATTTATACTTAAACATTTAGTTCACCAACTAAATATTTAACTTGCAAGTTAAATGTTTAGTTTGTAAATTAAACATTTATCTTGGACATAAACGTTTAGTTTGTAAACTAAATATTTAGTGTGGAACTAAATATTTAGCTTGCTAATGTAATATTTAACTTACAAGTTAATATTTAGTTTGTAAACTAAATATGTAGCTTGTAAATTAAATATTTAGTTTGGAACTTTGACATTTATAAATGTATGAATAACATGGTGAAAATACGAGTTTGAAAAAAAACCTTTTTTTCTTATGAAAGGCTAAATAAACTAAAATATTGCTGTTAATTTTTGACAGTGTAATTTTACAAATGGCTCTCCAATGTGCAGGACTGTTTTAACATGCACAGTTTTTTTCACACGTTGCAAAAGCTTCACAGTATTTCCACAAACTGTCCAGCTTTTGCAAATGTGGTTTTGTAAAGAGCTTTACAGTGTCCTCCTATTGCGTTCTACCGTTCCAGTCATGAAATCTGCTCTCAGGGAATAATCGTTCAATACAACTGATTAACATCTGAAGCAAACTTATTTTAAACAAAAGCCGCCACAGCCCTCCGACTTCATAAAACACAAAATTCAGTCAGTTTTACAGATACTGTAAAATGTTGACTCATTTACAACGCTTACTGTAAGTGCAACTTATTGCATTTTTTTTTTTTGCCTAAAACTTTAGCAGTTTAACTTTACCTGTTGGCCTCAAACTTGTTTGTTTGTTAGCAAAATATTGGAAAAAAACACCTGAATGTAGGGATGCACAATATTATTGGCATGGTATCGGTATCAGCCAATATTAGCGATAAAGTTAAATATCGGACATTGGCCATTCCATCAAAATAACTCACCGATATAAAAGGAACTGTTTATATATATAATATTTATATAGTGTTACATCATTTTCAGACCCCTTTTTGGCATCTGCATTTGGTAGTATGCCAAACTTGCAAAGACCATGCAGAATAATGTAGTATTTTAATTCCACAGCAGAGAAAGCTATGTAGTCTCTGTAAGTAGGTTTAGGGAAAAAAATATCAGTATTGGTATCAGTTATCAGCCAAACAAGTTTTAACATGTCCAATATCGGCCAAAAATCCAATATTGTGCATCCTTATCTAAATGGATTTTGATGAAACTTTCAGGAAAAACTCTTTGGATCTAGGAACCATCCCAGTTCAAGCTGATTGCCACCATTGCTGCGATTCGTTCAATCTTTACAAATATGGAGCAGATCTTTGTTGCGGTGGTCGCTGAGAGTCAGTTTTAACACATACACTAAGCATGACGCTTTGTGACATCACATTTTTCCAAACAACACTATTTTCAAGGTTTACTCAAAAAGGCTACAACTGTCAGATGAGGCTAAAGCTGATGGATGAAAGGCGGTGGGCGACATGCAAGTCTTCAGCGAAGGATTGGCTCTAAATTATGTTTATGATTTTAAATGTTCCAATGACACTGTCAAAACATGACCGGAATAAGTAAAAAGCAACATATGACACTGTTAAACTCTTTAATTACACTTTAATTAGAGCTGCACAATATATGAAAAATTGATTCTCATTGCATCATCAATGGTCACAACATGAACACTGTAATGATTTGCAATATTTTGCATCAAGAAGCTGCACATAAAGGATTTACTGGGCAACCAAATGGACCCTAATGTCTTAAATATGAAAGATGATAATGTCCAAAATGCTGAAAGCAACATGGAATGGGTTCTGGATATAACAATGAACAAAAATTGGTTTTATTACTACAATTTACATCACCGCAATAGTCAACAATAATTATCATAATTGCATGTTTTCCTAATATTGTGCAGCCCTACATTTACATCTGTTGGTAAATGCCCTTTTCAAAAAAAGTCATAATATTTACTTGGGACCTTAAAAAATGTCCACAATCACTACGGATCTGTCAGGTTTACTCCTTTTATCCCTGTCTAGAACATTAATTGAAAAATAGATAAAAAAAAAAAAAAAAAAGCAAAACTCACAAGTAACCAAAAGTATCGTCTTACCTCGTTTATCTGATCCAAAGTTAACGTACAGAATAACAAGAAGCATGGGTCAAAGAGAGATATAGTACAATGTAAGTCAACAGGTTTAGAGATGCGCTAGGCTCCAATCTCATTATGAAAAATGGAAACGGTTAAAAAGGGCATTAACCTTAGGAGATACAGGAGACAGCAGTGGAACAACATACAAATGGATTTCTCTATAAGTGAGAATGTGCTCCGTCACACCCTTTAAGCACCCTGAGGCTTTAGTTTTTCTAACATCCCTTTAATTGTCACTTCTGCATCCATGCAGTAGTTGGCTAAACTCAAAACCCTTTTATCCAAAATGTATTAGGTCTGCAGGGCAGCTCAAAGGACTCTGCCCACTCTGTGATTTGATGCTGCATGTTTTATTTCCTTCCACAGCTACGAGGAGGGAATTATTGACAGGTCTCCACATATGGCAGCAGCAGGTACGGTGGGAGACGAGGAGAGGGAAAGAAAGCTGAGCAAGGAACATGGGAGGTGCGATTAAGAAAATCACAAAAATATAATGAATAAGCAGAAAATGTGAACAAATAAAAGGGACGAGAGTAAAAAAAAAAAAAACTTAACAGGAGAGAATCAGGAGTTGGAAAGGCAACAATGAGTACCGTATTTTTCGCCGTATAGGTCACTTTTTTTTTTTGCATAAATTTGCAAGTCCTGCAACTTATACACCGAAGTGACTAATATACGTTTTTTCCCCCCCATATTTAAAACCCAATTTTTGTTCTGACAATTTTCATTCATTCTGACATGGAAAATATTGAACACTACCATTTTCAGCCGCTACAGGGCCCTCGACTAATAAGGCAAGCCAAGTGTCTCATTATTAGATAAAAGTGGCTATTAATGAGACATTTGGCTTGCCATAGCAGCCATCTTTGTCTCGCTCAGGAACTCCTGAACAAACAAATCAGCTGCATGTCGCCGCGCCGCCCAGGCACAATGCAATTGATTTGACCATTAAAGTGTATTTATTAGGAAAAGTTCAACTGAGACACACCTTTACTATAATGTTGAGCAAACAAGTAATTGTTTTTAGGTGGTTGTCTTGTTAAATTTTGAAGAAATGCACCGCAAGTCCTTTCTCTGCGCTGCAGCAGCTGCGAATCGATTTTTGAAATGCAGCTGATTTGACCATTAAGGTGCATTTATTAAGGAAAAGTTAGACTTAAACACACCTTTGCTATAATGTCGAGCAAACAAATAATTGTTTTTAGGTGTTAATCTTGTTAAATTCTTGTTAAAGTCCTCCCGTGCACGCTCCCATGGTTACCATTTGGCAACCAATAGATTTTTGGCACAACACCGGCCCACATTTCCAGGTTGACAGCGGTGATGCATAATAGATGCGACTTATACGGCAAAGCGATTAAAAAAAAGAAAAGTTTTTTCTACTTTATTAAACATTTTTGGACTGATGCGGCTTATACGGCGGTGCGACGTGTACGGCGACAAGTACGGTATAAAGAAAATGGGCACAGAAATGGATCAAAAGACCATCTTGAGGTCAGATTGATGCAGATGAGATGGTGAGGATGAATGATTAAAAAAAGTTCAACCTGAAGATGATCTGTTACAACATCAGGGAGGGAGGTGGGCGACCGAGGGATGCTGAGGAGGATGGAGAGCAGCCAAACCTCTGCCAGCTTCCTGCACTAATGAGGGAAAACAAGACTGATGCTCTTCTGGGGCAAAATCCTTTGTTTTGGTGTCAGATTACAGGTGCTGTTGTGAGGGGAGCAGTTGGCTGCCATCGGTGGGCTCTAATCGTACAGGACATAAGCTTACACACCATTCCTCACACTGTTTTTTTAAATTTTGTATTTAGGGGGAGCGTTTTGGTTTTTCACATTGGCCTACAGGCGAGCCACCACGGAGAATGTGAAGAACAGCACGACACATAAAGACACTGAAAACGAGAAGAAAGAGATAAACTAATGTGAACTCGCTGAGACAGGGCACATTAACAATTTATCATAAAAGTGAATCTAGGAAGCAACAAACCGGTTCTGCTCTGTGGTGCAAAACAAAAAGTGACAGACAGGAAAGCGACAAGACTGGAGGCTGTGACGCACATAAACTTGCATCGAGCTGACAAACGTTTCCTTTTAAGAGCCGGCGTGGGGATGCGACAGGTCTGCGGCCTGGCTTCACGTGTCCCCGCCGCCTCCGCGGAGGAGGGTGGCGTCCTACCTCGTACTCCTCCTTGAAGCCGTAGCCCTCGGCGCACTTCATCTGGGTGATGTGCTGGAGGAGGTCGGCCACGCGGATCGCTGGGTGCAGCTGGCCCGTCTGGTACGGCACGTCCACGGGCTCCCGCTTCCTCAGCGAGTGAGTGTGCGACTGCACCAGGCTGCTCGTGTCACTGCTCATGTTCTGGCTCTCATCTGTGGAGGGGGACACAAAAACAGGCCGGACGCTTGAGGACAGGGAACTCTGATTTAAACAGCAGGTCCAGCAGGGTGACATAAGGCTTGACACAGCAAATGACAAAAAGTTTTTTTTACAACTTTTACCATCATATAAAGTTGATATGATTAGTTTATCTCTTCAATATTCTCATAGAACAGATGGCACATTATCCCATTTACTGCTAAGCATTATGTCACCTCCCTCCAGATTGATAAACAACTCTCAGCTAGTAATCTGTTTGTTATGGATGATCACAACAACACAACATCATTGAGTAATAGGATGAGTCATGTGGTGGGAAGGTTCACGTCCATCTGTCTCAGTGTGGCTGGAAAATACTGAACGCTATAGCTGGTTTAAAGGGATAGTCCAACCATCTTTGGGGCGATGTTCTGTCTAATTAATACCTTATGAGCCGTGACGTCAGTCACAGAGCACAGTTTTAACATCCAGGCTAGCAGCTGTTAGCCTAGCCAGGCGGATATTTTTGCCTCATTTCCCATCACTTCATGCTCTGAGGCTGATATCATGACCATTAAGGCACTAATTATTAATAACTACTTAGAACATCACTTCAAAGGTCACTGGATTATTCCTTTAAGTAGCATGCTTATATTACAAGCATTTATTATGACACCTGTCGAGAAAAAAAAAGGTGTATATGTCCGTCAGCTGTGAGAAACTGCAGAGATCAATCGTTAGAGGAGTGCTCATAAAGATGCTGTAAAACAACAGGTTGGCTGTGTTTGCTGCGAGGACAGTATGTTGGTTTGGGCTGCAGCTCATGTAGCGTTCCAGCTCTTTCATACAGTAATCCAGTCAGTGGCAGACATGAGGCACAGATGCTTTGGGGGAGCCAGCGGACGATGGAGGGTGTCCAGAAACATGGAGGAGGATGTGAGGTGGGGGGAGAGGTGGGGGGTGCAGTGGGGCCACAAGTGAGCATGTTGCAGCAGGCGCCATCAAAAGCATCACAGAGACACAGCGTAGATTTAGCCCCGCCCACCCATATTTCCCCCTTTATTCATGTAAAAATTACAAGATAAATCATAATAATAACATCAAAACAGAGGAAGAACCTGGGAGGGTGGGAGAAGAGATGGGAGGAGAATGCATGGGGTGATGCCGACATGGGGCGCTGTGTGCACTTTGACCATGCTAAGCTAATGGTGGTGAGATGCTAACATGTCCACTGGTCATGCAATGGATGTGAGAACGTCAGAAGCGGCCAGCGCTGGCTCGCTTTCTGAGTGAAACATCGCCTCCTTCCCCAAACCCAGGGGCCACTTGGGAAAACTTACCATTAATGGGCACTTTTTAGATAGCAGATACATAAGAGGTTACGTATGTAAAGAAAGAGAGAGAGAGAGAGGAGAAGAGACAGGAGAGAGGGGATAAGCAACAATACAGCATGAGAACCTGTTACAGTCGTTTTAGAGCTACGCTACAGGGCAAGATCACATGCCTGCTTAGTTCAAAAAGCCTCATTGGGGCGGGGGGGATGCTGAGTGGATGGATGGGGCAATTTAAACAGTGCAAGACAAAAAATGTTAAAGAAATAAAAACAAAACAAGAAAGTCATGGAGTTTTTGGGGAGAAAATAATAATGGAAAGCTGAATATTTTAACAAGCTACTTTTTGTTTTTGTTTTTGGAGGATTCTGACTTTTTCCTCCCGTAATTGCTCTAATTAAATTTTGCATGTGCTTGTGGAAACACCTGCTTTCACAAGGAACGTGAGATTAATCAATCCCGAACGCTCTAATCTGTTTTGATTGTTAACCTCGACTGATGAGAAAATGCCATGACTGAAAGCGCGCAACCTTTTCTGGACGCTTTAATTTGACGCTAATCGCCTCGTGCTTCATTAAACGTGGAACTAACATCAGCAGCTGTCACGGGAGAAGTGATGAAATGCGCTGCTGTAAGTTGCATTGGTGCAAAAAAACAAAAACGATAACTAAACTTCTGACATTTGTAGTAAAGCTGAAGAGTCGCTTGTTGCCTCTTTCTTTCGTGGCCTTGAGTGTTTAATTATTACGGCTCCTAGTGCCCCACTTGGAAGCAGCATTCTGCGCTCGGCTGGTAGAGAATAAAAGCATCTGCTCGCCTGAGAAGCTGCACTTTTCTGGATATGCAACAAAGGACAGTAATAATTAACAGAAGAACAAAATGCTTTTCGTGATTCTATTTTATCGCTGAACAAGATGTACGAACTGGCAAAAAAAAAAACCAAAACCAGAAACAAGTAGGTCAGTAGCGTTTTGCCAAAGGCGGCGGGGAGAGCAACATTAAAAAGAATAATAGAAAAGGTTGTTGTTTTGGAAGGAGGGAGGGGAGTTAAACGTGTAGTGAGGAGAGTGGAGGGGGAGGAGGAAGGGGAGGGCAGCGCTGCTAAGGCTAAACTTTAGCTGTTCGGAGCTTGTGTTTTATTTTCAGCAAAGAGTCTTTTTGCTTTTACTCGTACACAGTTCGTGCCAGTGCTGCTGCTGTGGTTGCCCACTCGTTGCCCCCTCCCTTAGACACTCCCCCCAACATCCAGTCCACATGTCCGTCCATGCTTATGAGAGGTCAAACACGTTAAGTGACGTCACACGCACGACACGCAATGCGGATGGGATGGAGTGAAGCCAGCCTCGGCACGGGAGACAGACAGAGCTCTCCTCGATTGGTCGAGGAGTGGGGGTGGGGGTGGGGGGTGGGGGGGAGAGAGGAGGAAGCAGCAGGCAGGTATGAAGGTGAGGAAGCCATCTTTAATTAATAACCTAAAGAAAAAGTCATTTACTTAAAATAAAATGTTTTTTGGAGCTTCAAGACACTGGATAAGTAAAATGCAACTTTTGTTCTTTACAGCGTCAAAACGGAGAACAATGAAAGTGTCTCACCTAAGATGGCAGTCGGCACAAAGGGATCTGCTCAAACGCCAGAAAAAGTGCAGAAGTTGGAAGAGGAAAGAGTCAGCAAAAGACAAAAAACAACATCGACAAAAAAGAAAGGACACTTTGTTTTTCTCGGTTTCTTGCCAAACAAAACACCAAGAAACGGTTCATAACATCTGGAAAAGCTAATTATACAGTAAGTTTAGCCGATTATAAATCTCGCTGCCCTTTACTCCGCCTAATCAATGGGCTGTGAAGTAATTACACAAGACACACAATTATGGATATTATTTAAAGCCATAACTGAACAACTCAAATCCGTCATTGTGAAGTGCCATAAAACAAGAAATGTAGCGGAGGGGTTAAAGCCACCCTGGGTTAATTTATCTGTTTTCTCAATTGTGAAATAATTTTCAAAGTTTTAAAACTTGTCAAATATATCGAGCCCAGTTGTGTCTCGCATTACAGTATTGCTTTATAAATTAAATTAGTAATGTAAAACTCGTTAAAACTTGTTGAAAACAAACAAACACAAAAGACAAAACAACAATGGCTCTTAATCTGTTGTGACACTAATTTTCCCACTTTTCTTAATAGCTGAATTTGTCAACGCAGCCGTTCAGACCGCGAGAGAAACGCGGTGTTTTCTGCAAGCAAGAACGAGAAAGCAAGAAGGAGATGGTGTTTACCTGGGTAGTAGGAGTTGGTGGGGATGGATGAGGTCAGAGTGTTGCCTTTTGGCAGCGTGAAGGAGGAGGGTGATGATCCAACTGCAGATTGAAAAAAAAAGCATTAACAACGTAAATTTGAACAACTTAGGATGCAACCACGATGTAAAAATACACCTCTTGCTTTTCAGACTCATATACAGTAGTTTCTCGTTAATCACGGTGGATCCGTATCCTGAAGCCCTGCGATAAGTGAAAAAACGTGAAGTAGGAATAGTACTTTGTAGTACAAGTAGTAAGTAGTAGTTTATTTTAGTATATATATACACATATATATATATATATA